CGGTCGTGGATGGATGGATCAACTATGGACCTCAGGATCTTGTCACGGTGTCTCCGTGTATTCAAGATATCATCAATAAATCGCAACTGTGTTTGTTGTCCATAACATATGCCTGCCCATACCATAACCCCACCTCCACCATTGGCCTCTCAATTCACAAGGTTGACATCAGGCAGCTCACCTCCAAGACACCATACACACAGTCTGCCATCTGCCCTTTACAGTAAAAGCCAGGATTAATCCGTGAATAGAACACCTCTCCATCATGCCATATGACATTGAATGTGATCATTTCCCCATTCAAGTCTGTTACAACGACAAACTGCAGTCAAGTGGAAACCCCTATGAAGACAGCGAGCATGCAGATGAGTTTCATTGAGATGGTTTCTGATAGTTTGTGCAGAAATTATTTGGTAATGCAAACTGACTGTTGAAGCAGCTTTCTAGGTGGATGGTCTCAGACAATCTTGTAGATGAAGATATTAGATGTGGAGGTCCTGGGCTGGTGTGGTTACATGTGACCTGTGATTGGGAGGCTGGTTGGATGTACTGCCAAAATCTCTGAAACTTCTTTAAAGACGGCTCATGGTAGAGAAACGAACATTCAATTCACGAGCAACAGCTCTGGTGTGACATGCAGTCAGCATGCCAACTACACACCCCCTCAAAACTTGTAACATCTGTGGCATGGTGCTGTGATAAAACTGCACATTTAGAGTGACCTTTTCTTGTGGTCATCCCAAGGCACGCATAATCAAGCTGTCTAATCATCATCTTGATATGCCACACCTGTGAGGTGGATGGATTATCTCGTCAAAGGAGAAGTGCTCACTAACAAAGATTTGTAAAAATATTTGAAAGAAAAATGCCTGTTGTGTACATGGGAGAAATCTTAGATCTTTGAGTTCAACTCATGAGAAATGAGAACGAAAACAAGTGTTGCATCTGAATTTTTGTTCAGTGTAGATTTCTATTGTATATATTGGTGCATCGTTGTATTTAAGTATATTTATTAAGAAATGAAAATAAAAGATCTAAACTTGTTGCACACTTCAGTTCCATACATAGTTCTTGAAGTTCATCGCTGACATCTTAATAACATTTTAAAAATGTAAATGCAGTGAACCTGTTTGACACCTTTTGAATTTTTTCCAGCTTGCTGCATAAATTATGACTGAATTATTCTTGTACTTTTATCTCCCATCTCTATCACCAGCAGTCTTCAACTATACAGCATAAGCTATTAACCCATTAGCTAATGATCATGGGTTGTCATGTTCTACACTCAAGGACCTTCTAAAGCAACGGTGCAGAGATAGAAGTGATTTATTCAGGAATAAAATATAGAGAAACTGCAGCCAGAGATGAAAGAGAATCTGTAGACTTCTAAAAAATGAAGTGCTTTAGTTTCACCGTCTAGACACAATCAGTGCTGGAATAAGATCTTTAACTGGAAAGTTACATTTGGTAAAAAGCATACTAATAGTGTGATGAATATTTAAAGGCACCACGCTGTGAAACAGAGTTTTCCTGCCAGATGATCTTCCCTGCTCTTATTTACTTGTGGCTATAGAGAGGGTTTTCTAAATGAATAATATATTAATTTGCAGTAATAATTTTGTAAACCAGTAGAACAAACAAACACACACACAAATTTTTTTCTTCTTCATTATAAATGTGTTTTTTTTCTCGTTTGGTCTCCAAACAAATCAAAAATGCAGCACACATTCTGTTATTAACCTACTTATCTAGCAAGACCTAACTTCTGAACATTTTTATTTTTTCCCAAAGTATATTTCTATAATTTAGGCTTGTAAATATTTAGAAAAATAAGGTGAGAAAATTTCAGAGGTGGAACTAACGAATTCCAAATACTCACATTACTGTAATTAAGTACAAACTGGATTCCAAAAAAGTTGGGACACTAAACAAATTGTGAATAAAAACTGAATGCAATGATGTGGAGATGGCAAATGTCAATATTTTATTCATAATATAACATAGATGACAGATCAAAAGTTTAATCTGAGTAAATGTAACATTTTAAAGGAAAAATATGTTGATTCAAAATTTCACAGTGTCAACGAATCTCAAAAAAGTTGGGACAAGTAGCAATAAGAGGCTGGAAAAAGGAAATTGAGCATATAATGAACAGCTGGAAGACCAATTAACACTAATTAGGTCAATTGACAACATGATTGGGTATAAAAAGAGCTTCTCAGAGTGTCAGTGTCTCTCAGAAGCCAAGATGGTAAGAGGATCACCAATTCCACCATTGTTGCACAGAAAAATAGTGCAGCAATACCAGAATGGTGTTACCCAGCATAAAATAGCAAAGACTTTTAAGTTATCATCATCAACCGTGCATAACATCATCAAAAGATTCAGAGAATCTGGAACAATCGCTGTGCGTAAGGGTCAAGGCCGTAAAACTCTACTGGATGCTCGTGATCTCCGGGCCCTTGAACGTCACTGCACCTCAAACAGGAATGCCACTATCAAGGAAATAACAGAATGGGCTCAGGAATACTTCCAGAAAGCATTGTCAGTGAACACAATCCACCGTGCCATCCGCCGTTGCCAGCTGAAACTCTACAGTGCAAAGAGGAAGCCATTTCTAAGCAAGCTCCACAAGCTCAGACGTTTGCACTGGGCCAGGGGTCATTTAAAATGGAGTGTGGCAAAATGGAAGACTGTTCTGTGGTCAGATGAGTCACCATTTGAAGTTCTTTATGGAACACTGGGACGCCATGTCATCCGGACCAGAGAGGACAAGGATAGCCCAAGTTGTTATCAACGCTCCGTTCAGAAGCCTGCATCACTGATGGTATGGGGTTGCATGAGCGCTTGTGGCATGGGCAGCTTGCATGTCTGGAAAGGCACCATTAATGCAGAGAACTATGTTCAGGTTCTAGAACAACATATGCTCCCATCTAGACGTCATCTCTTTCAGGGAAGACCCTGCATTTTTCAACACGATAATGCCAGACCACATTCTGCAGCAATCACAACATCATGGCTACGTAGGAGAAGGATCCGGGTACTGAAATGGCCAGCCTGCAGTCCAGATCTTTCACCTATAGAGAACATTTGGCGCATCATAAAGAGGAAGGTGCATCTGCATCTTTGTACCAATAAGACTCTCAGATCGCAAGCATGCCAATTACCTATGACATAATCAAATGCCAACTCCGTAGAGTAGAGAGTCATATATGGACAGAAGATTTGGAGAAAAAGCCATAATAGAGACAGAGGACAACAATGTCAACAGCGAAAATGACGAGGTAAAGGCTGACGACGAGTGCCCGTGGCCGTAGCTGGAGGAATTTTTAATGTACAGATTGCAAAAAGGAGACAGCATCCAGATGTGAACTTTGTTTGATCTCTATGGTGACAGCAGCTTACAAGACTTCAGCATCTAATCTCAAAAAACATATTGCGGAATATGAGGTTTTACAACTACCTGTATGATATTGCTTTTTTATTGTTTGTATGTGTGGATTATTAGTTTGGCTAAGTAGCAAAGATCTCAGATATTGTCACTGCCATCCGTTTGTCGGGTACTAAAATAAGACAGAGCTTCTGAGCGTCTGAGGAATGAGCTTTGAATGTAGCGATTATATACAGTAAATCAAACTGAATGTCTCCTATTAACACAATAAAACATAAATTGGTTAAAAAGTAATTAATACTCTGAGTAGTTTTTGGGAAAAGTACTTTGTACTTTTACTTAAGTATTTTATAACACCAGTACTTTTACTTGTAATTGAGTACAAAAAGCAGTGTAACAGTACTTGTACTTGAGTATAAATTTTCAGTATTTTCCCACCTCTGGAAAATTGACCATACATTATGTCCACTGATTTGTTTGGGAAGCTCTCTTGTTACGAGAAAGATTACCTTTTTTTTGGCTTGCTAAATCACCATACAGCTGCAGCTGAACTGTGTTGTTGCTAAGCATTGAGCTGCACCTGGTGCCATGCCCCGATATAATAGTGATATAATTTTTAAGCAAGTTGAAAACTGGCAAATTTCTTTCTATTTATGCATTACGTGTTACATCCTGTGCCACCATAGACATTAGGCATGACAGTAAGCATTGAAACATAAGTGGGGGCTCGTCCGGGATTTGAACTCAGGACTTCTCACACAGGTTGCACAATCACAGATTAATGTTAAATATAAAATTCACTACAAATCACGAATGCCCTTTGGGAAAGGATTTAGTACCGAGTGAGGGCAGCCTTTAATCATTTGAATGTTTATCTGTCGTAACAGGTCTATGGAAGTCTTTAGAAACAAACACAGCGAGTAACAAACTTTTTAAATTAAGGTGAAATAATCTAAATGTAAACTATAACATCAATTTATTACTAGTAGCTTAAAGATGTTGGATACTCCTTGTGATGATAAAATAATGTTTACAAATAGTTTAAAACAAGGATGGACACAATCAAAGTTACTAAAATACTACACTTTAATGTTTAAAAACATCCATAGTGGGAAACGACACTGAAGGATTGGCCTTTTTTGTCTACAAGAGAAACATGTTTTTTTTTTAGTCTACTCTGTTTTTACTATCTCACCAAACTGCAACATCCTTCTTGAAATAAAACATTTATTACATGTTAGCAGCATTTATGTGAATAATAATTACTACCTGAATGGCACAAGACAAAAACTTATGGCAATAGTGAACATGTTTTATTTCATCAGAACATTATAAAGAGAATAAAACTTAGTCTTCTTGGAATCAGATTTTTATGACGATGATTTAAATAAAGCGTTAGGATGACAGCAACCCTTGCGTTGTTCTGATGCTATAACTGTATACAGCAATTTGCATAAATAAAAGTTGAAACATTCACATTTTTAAACCAAATCTTCATTGATTTTAAGACTTTTTTTGTTCCCTTGTTGATGCAGCAGTAATTATACTTTATAAGTGCTATTATGTAAATAGAGACCAACAGAGACAGATTAAATTTTGTTTTACTTACCCAGATGTTTCCATCTTGGTGATACGGTTTCCAGTTCCTTCCTGTATCACTGAAGAGGAGGCGGTACTGCGTCATCCAGTCAGAACTGCTGTAGCGACCCTGCGTTGCTATGGCGCTCACCTGCTTCCTGGAGCCGAGGTCCACCTGTAGCCACTGGTAATGATCACTGTCCAAAGGTGACCATCCACCAGCACCTGTAGAGTCGGTAACATTTTCTAATGAGTGTCACAACAAGGGTTCTCTTTCTTGCATACATTACGACCCAGTGCAATACAAAGATTCATTTGGTCCTGGGTCAAATAAAAATTAACTAGGAGGAAATGAACACAGCTTCTGCTCAGGTCACATCAGCTCTTGAGCCCAAGGCAGCAAAGACACAGCATGATACTGCTATAATGATTTTTTTCGAAGAGAATAGAGTTACAAGGCTGTAGTCCATCATATTATTGATGGTCAGTGTCCAGCAGAGTAAGCCAAGGGTTTGCTCCAAGACAGAGTCTAGCACAGGAGAGGCAATGTCTTATTAGGAACTTTTCATACAGATTTTACCAATATAGCTGACTATAAGCATATTCCACCAGGATAAAACTCACGATAAAGAAAAAATGACATTAGTATGAATGATTTTCCATTTTATTGTCAGTATGCAAGGCTTAATGCGAGATTTTCTAGACATTAAGGTGTCCATATTAGGTTCCATGATGTAATGAACAGTGGGTTGTTTTGACTTCCTCTGTACTTTTTGCATGTAGAGTATTTTGAACGCATATTTTATATTTCCCCACGTAAAAAGGTTCTGATCTAAGAGAGCAAATGCACCAAAGTTAAAACAGTGTTCTACCAAGAGGACATGTTGCTATGAAGTAGACTATCTCTGAAAACATAAAAGCATGGCTTATCCGTGACATCTTTTTTTGGCTACCCATGACTACTGGAATAGATGGCTGATTTTGTTTTCTAATTTCCTCTGTGGCCGTCAGCATACTTATGATACGTCCTCGAAAATGTCCAGTTTTCTGTCTAAGATGGACACAAACTCTACCAGACCCTGCAGGTTAAATGAGCCTGAGGTTAAATGGTGCAGATACAAGAAAAAAAACAACAACTGTTAGATAGAAATGAAAAGAATAACAGGACTTAAATCCTATGTACTAACACAGAAAGGGAGTAAGTACTATATGTCTTCTTAACTACTATCAACCAAGGCAATCAACCTCTTTAGGGAAGTACAAACAGACCAAACAAATGTATATTCTTGTATCACCTGGTGAATGTGAGTAAAATAAAAACCGATTCATTGCTTCATTTAGGTGTTTTTTGAAAAGAAAAAAAATCATTTAAAACCTGTCAAAATACAGAAACATACAAAGGAATTTACCGAATAACAGTCTGTTCAGATGCAACACAAAAAAATAAACTAGAACTGATTAAAGACTTTGGCACAGCACTGCTGGTATGTCAATGATAGGATGAACTGATTTGAAAATGGAAAAAAATACAGCAACACAAGGACAAACTGAAGCCCAACAAATTACAATCAAATGGGAAAAAATCTCTAAAGATTGTGAATAAGGGACAGGACGATAGTCATAAGATAAAACAGAAAGTGTCAGAGTTTGCAAAAAAGAAAAAAAAATCTATCTTATCCAATTACAGAGCCATTACACTACTGCTCCAGAGTTGACAGATAACCAGGCTTGTATCAGTGGAAACGTCAATATCTCAAAAAGCCGTTGCAGCAAAGTGGTTCTCTTGAGGGGATAAAACGCTATCAAAAAGGGAAGGGCAGAAGGAAAAGACAGGGTGGGTTGAGGAATTGGGTTTGAGGAGGATAGGGCCTTAGTGATAATCATACATACAGCAGAAAATAAAGATTTAAAACACAAACTAAGTGGACATTGGCCAGGGCAATGTGCTACTTGTAAAACAGAAAGGGTGACGATGTGATGTAACGATTGAAAAGTGGCGCATTTGGAGGGGTGGTTGACCAGAACAGAACCAGCCAAATGGAAGGGAGGCAGATGAATACGTGTTAAGAGAAGATTTTATGGAGTACATCAAAAGAGCCAGAGATGTGAGTTGCACAGATCAATTCTAAAAGACGAGGGAAGGTAAAGACGGTGACAAATAAAACCAGAAGTTCAAACTCTGTAGGAACTTTGAAGATAAACTCAACTCAGTCAACCCTGGAAAGGGATGCTGTCAGTGGAAAATTAGACTGCAAGTGGGTTCAAATAAGCATAGATCAAATAGCAAAGATTGGAAAAGTCGAGCAACGCACTGACTATTACAAAGAAAATAGGAGAAAGTGAGAAAAGAATATTGCAAAAATATATTAAGGAGGTTGTGAGCCCAGCTGCTGGAGGTTTTCAACCATGTGTTCATGGGGATGCTCAGCCAAGAAAACAATCAATTTGAGGGTTTTTGTACCTGGCCTTTTCTGAAGTCAGTTCATATTTCATGACAAATAAATCTTCATGTGCAGGACCTTCTGGTTTGCTCACAGAGGATCCAGTGAAAGTTGTCCCAGCTGACTTTGCTGTTTTTTTTTCCAACCCCCACCTCTGGTGAGAGTTGCTTAAGTGTACACTTTTCTGCGTTGGTCAGGAAGTAAGAAGTTAGCAAGTTTGTACTCCATCGTTCAATACGGTCACTGCTTGATGGAAGTTGGAACATTTTCCAGTCCAACATATTTTCAGCTGTAACTCATGCTTCAATGACCACTAATGCCAGGTCAGCATACTCTCAAATCAAAAGGTGCAGCTTAATAAAAAGAAAAGGACTGCTTAATTGGGATATGAGGCTAATACAGTTTTGTTTAGCTTTTATTTTCTACGTCTCAGTGACTTCAAATTTCACTTCAGGGTTCTCAAACTGTCCAGATTTGCCTTTTTCCTGTTTTGATGTCCTTGGACTTACCAACCAAAGTGAGACACCTAATTCCCACACATACTTTACATTCCAGTCTTCTTGTCTGTAACTGGGGTTTGAACCTGAATCTACCCGTCTTGTGGCACCTTGTTCCTGCCAGACTCCTGTTTCCAAAAAGAACATTACAGCCACAAGAGTATGGCTGCTGTTGCTTTCAACTGTGTGTGGAACTGTGCGTCTGTGTGCGTATGGATTTTTAGAAATTGTACTCCATAAACAGTTTGCTGCAATCACTAAGAAGGAAATTTATCAATTTTTAAAGTTTTCTTATTGTGTCTGTTGTTACATCGTTTATTGTTGGATCGTGGTCTAAATTCTAACGGAAGGTAATGACGAGGTAATTAACTCTTCGTGTGACGTTGAGGTGAATGCAAGACAAATAGATCCGATCAAATTGTATTTTTTGTTAGCACAAATACATGGGACAACACATTAACTAAAAAAAAGAAGAAGATTAAAGGCTTTAAAGAAATGCATCACCTGCCAAAGTTAATGTCAGATTGCACAATATGATCATCTTGATATAAGAATGGACATGTTTTAAGTAATGTGGTGCAAATTGCAGCACTTGGAGTATGAATTGTGACTTAGTCAGCCACTACTATACCAGATTTGGGCTCAAAACCAATAAAATTGACTTAGTTATGGCCATTTTTGTGTTTGCTAATGTTGATTAGCCGTGGTGGCTATCATAATTTAAGGCAATTCCAGAAACGTATCAGTTGTAGATGTTTACCAAATGATTACTTTCTGAGAATTTAACTAAAATCTGTCTAATGGTTAAAGAGACATTTTGCTAACAGACAAACGGGGCTGAAACCAACAGTTGATGCCAACAAGCCAGGACGCTTGAAATGAGTGTTGAGAACTGGTCTCAGCTACTACCACACCATCGCTAATTATCAGTAAAACGGACAGATTTTTTGCCATTTTTGCATTTGCTAATGTTGATTAGGTGTGGCAGTCATCTTGAATTGGTTGACTAATATATATATATATGTGTGTGTGTGTGTGTGTGTGTGTGTGTGTGTCTGAAACCATCTTTGTTTGAAAAGCCGTTTAGAAGAACATAGGACCAAAGTGACGTACAGTACAATAAATACAAGATAACAGCAATCGCACAAGACACGAGAAACTGAACAAAGTGAAACCAACATTATCTCTGTCCACTGGTTCATGAGATATTTTGCTGACACAGTCAACAAACAAATACATAGTAATAAACATTATTATTGCATTCATTTCACAAAAGCTTTGCCAATCCAAGCAAAAGCTCAGTGCTGTTTCAAAATCAATATAAATATGTGTTTTCCAGGTGAAAGTATATCCTAAAAAGGGGTAAACTAAACGACAAGGGTCAGAGTTAGGAAGAATCCGTTGAACAGCTAGAGTGATCTTCAAGACGTGAGGTTCATGTTTTTACCAAAACGTACTGATGATGGGAGGAAGGAGAAAGTTAGACTGAAAAGTTTGTGGAGAATATTTTACAGAAAAAACATAATACAGTGGACACCGTTGGTGGGGAGGGAATGAAAGGTGACAGTTTGAGTGAAAAGCAGCAGCAGCCAAAAGCCAAAGGATAAAAAAGAGAGAAAGGGGAGTCGAGAAGCATCAGGGGGACCGTGGCTGTTCTCTCGCCTGTCACAAACACAGATGTTCGGGGAGGAGAGGAGGAGCAGCAGGAGAGGAGGTGAGAGAACACGGGAGCAATAAAGGTCAAGATACCACATCTGAGGAAGAGACACGGGAAAGGAGAAAAGTAAGAAGCAGAAAGACAGAAAATCAAAAGATAACACTCAACAAAAGCGTAGGCATACCACACCAACCAAAGTAACAAAAGAGTGAAATGAAATCCATGAAATAAAAAAAAGCACCTTTGTGTTTGTTTTTGGAAAAACTTTAAATCACTGTTAAGACAATAAATGGTGTAAATATTTCACAAAATAAAGAAAAATCTAAACTAATAAAGTTACTAGCATGTGATTTAAATAGATTCAAAAGATTGACGTATATTGCACAAATAAAATAAGTAAAGTTCATCAGCATGGTATTGAAATATTTTGTTTTTGTTCCTATTAGTTTTACAGAACTCTGATGTTTTACATTGAGTGAACACGAATAAAGACTTGACTGTTTTTACACTGGATGCCCTTCCTGACACAACCATCGATCACTGAGCTACCACAGTCCACATGTGTGGAGCCGAGGGCTGCCATGGTGCCGGCGAGCAGCCGGGGGAATGGGGGGTGGGTCAAGGGCCTTG